CCACTGTATGACACGTAGTATGTTAAGTTTTATTTTCATGGGAGAAGCTGGATCCTGGGCTGAAGAAATATTCCCTCGTTCACCAAAAGCATGTCAGAAATAGTCTGCTCTAGACTTGTATCAGCACAACCAAACAATAGCATTTTCTCAGACTTTGCATAAGGACTCAAAAATAAGCAGATTGAATCCATTTTAACATGAATATGGGCAAGCGTTTTCTTTCATAAAATCCTTTCAGAGAGGAGCTAACCCCACAACTTCATTATGATTGTTAAATCCACACAGCAGATAAGCAAAACCTCAGCAAGGGTTCAGATTAGCCAAAATCATTTGATCACGATGAGTCAGAAAGCGAATTAAGGAATCTTTTGTTTTGCCTTAAAATGTCACGGTATAAACTGCATCTGCTCAGGAGCTGACTCACAAGACCCTCAGACAATAGGGTAGCGGGGGCAAGGAAAGGACTTGGGGAGATAACCTCCGCAGCCAGCCCAGGCCAGAGCGTGTGTGCTCATCAATTATAATCCAAGCTTTTGAATGTGAGAGAATAAACCGTTGGTTTGGCTTTGCTAAATCGAATCTTTTTGCTGGGTTTTAGAATTTGGAAATCAATACTTTAAAAGGATTTTAAAATTCATATTCGCCTTCCCTTTGACTCATCTCGTTCCAGCTAGTTCAAACACAAGAAAATGGATGGTCAGCAAACCCTAAGCAGCTGCTGGCTGGATTAATATCTAAAAATCAAACTATTATCTACACTATCCAAGCCTCTCAGTTCAGAAAAATTAAAGTGGGAAGACTCATAATCTCATTTTTTTTCTTTTTCATGCCAGAAACACTCAATAAAAATGTCTTGCAATATACCAAACTTTTAGTCACTACAATAAGCCTGCAGGAAAGACAAGAAATGAGAAAATTCTCAACTTTTCTCTAGATCACACAAAAAGAAAAAAACCTGATCAGGTCAGAGTTACTATGAGTTTGGGGTGAGGAAGGAATATCAAGTAGACTAGGCTAAATCAGTTTATCGTCCCTAGTAACAAAGGATAAAACTTGTAAATGCATCAAGAATGAAATTCTCAGCAGAAATCAGCCTCAGAAAAACAGTCTCTGTCAAAAATCCAGCAAGCATTGTTATCTACAAAAACAATCCATTACCACTTTCTGTATTTATTGAAATCATGGAAGTGCACATGGAGTTGAAATAAATCACTTCTCAACTTCTCACTCACTAAGGATTGTCCTAAGCTGTCTGTCGGGGAAATGAGAGGTGACTTGGTGACTGTCTTAAAATTGTAACACCCATGTAGAAATAGTATCACAGTTAAATAGTTATCATAGTTAAATCATGTTAAATAGTATTTAAATGTGTTACTGTAAGGCCATATTCAACACTGTTTCTTTTTTGTTATTACTTTGATGGTATAGGATCAGGGTCTTGTAACTGCTCTGCATATGAATCTAGCAAGAAAAATAATTATAGTAATAAACTACATGATAAATAGCAGCACTAAGTTACTGGAACAACTAAACAAAAGGATACACTTGCATTTAAAACTTTCCGCTGTCATGACACAGGAATGAGCACTGAATAGACACTGGTGTTCTCTGACTGTTCCAGTACCTAATAAGATTATTTAATGTGGCTGTTTGGAGTGAATGCACAGATGCAGTCATTACATTTACTGCACAGAGGATAGTGAAATTCATTAAAAACCCAACTCAACAGGAAATCCTTCCTGATGCTGTGCAGAGCCGGAGGGAGTCCCGCAGGCCGGTGCTGCGTGGCTCTCAAAGGCAGCTGGGGGCCGGGAGGGTGTTTGCTGAGCGAGGGCTCCTGCGAGCTCCGTGCGAGCTCTTGCGTGCCCTCCCGCCAGCTCACCTTCCCCCCCACCCCCAAGTTCACCAAGGGGGCATTTCTACCCTTGGTACTAACTTTTACCGTTCTGCAAGCGCACTAAAATAGGGTGCTTTGCCTCTTTTTTAAATTTCATTCCTGGTTTCTGGAATTGCTTGGGGCAGTCAGACTGACGTGGCGGGTGTCGAGCACAAAATCCTCCCCAGCTTGGTTTCTTTTCCCCTGCTCTAGGCTTTAGGAACAGGTCCCTTGCTCGTAGTTTTCAGAATCTAAAATAGTCTGAGGGATGGCAACAGGCAAGATAGTAGAAGATACGAATTCATAACGTGTTTAACAGACTAAGTATTAGCGCTAATTCAATGAGCAGTAGGAGAAGAAATTGTAAATGACAAAGGCATTTACAGTTAACTGTCTAAGAGAATGCAGGGAAGTAAATCATTACATGAAAAAGGAGCTCCTTTTCTCAACCCACCCTATTAAAAACCCCACTAAAGAGCCAAGGCATTTATTGATTGCTTTCTACTTTCCCACTGCCGAAACTAAGTACTCCTCTATTTACTTTGATTTAAAAATGCATTATTGTCTACTTTCTAATAAACCAGACAGTGGAACAAGAAACTCAAATTATTCTAAGTTTATTCTTAAAAGTCCATTTTTTTTTTTTTTTGAAAGGCTGAAGGCCTTAATCCTTAAAAGCCTTTTTGAAGGAAATGTTACTAGATGCTGGCCTTGCAGCTGGGCCCAGATTGAAAGTGCACTTACATTTTTATGTTTAGCGCTGAAGGACTCTGAAGTTAGCCCTCGCACTCCACATAAAAGCTTTGGAAAGGGCATTCTTTGCCACTTGTGCAATTCATTCTCTAAGAAAAGGAAATGGAAAGAAAGATTTCATGTCCAGGGCTTCAGGCCTTTGATCATTTGATGAACATTGGATCCTCAACCTGGGCCTCCAGCTTCTCAGGCCAGACAAAGAGGGCCCCGGCCGCACAGGCTGGGCCTCGGTTCCCGCCCGAACAAAACCTTTGGCGGCCGCACAGTGTGACAGCCTGGGAAAGGCCCACCTCAGCAGGGCTGAGATGCCCGCTCTGCCCTTTGATCTTTCATTTAAAACCCAGCCAAAGCACCAGGTCAGGGGATTTCGCGTCGCACACCCCCATGGGCAGAGGGGAGCAGGTCAAGAACAAAATGGGGGTGACCAATCTCCAAAAAGCCCTGTGACGCCTTTCTCTGGCCAGTTTCACATGACTTGTCTGGTATTGTGAAGCGCTAAGCCCACACTTAAAATGGAATTTGACATTACATGGTACAATGGAGTCAATAAATGGCATTCTTCAGTGCTTTTACAACAAAGTCAACCCTCCCTTAAGTGGCTGAAAGCCCCAAGCTAGAAAATACTTCTCATTTACTTCTTTATGCGAGTAAATTGCATATACTTTAAATCTAGTTTTCATTACGGCTTCTCATTGCTGATGACTGAAATGAGCCAAACAAATACCTAACAAAGGTCTACATTAATTTTACGATGTACCATTGCTTCTATTTTTAAAGACTAGGTTGTCACGTGGCACGGAACAAGCATTGGAAATATCTCAATATTCCTTCACAGAGTGAAAACCTATTTTCCAATGAGCATGAAAAAATAATCTCATCCCACTGAAAAAATTATTTTCAGTACAGTGCTAAGGAGAAGGCAAACACACAACTTCTTTTAACATCAGCAGCAAGTTCCACAGGATGCTCGTGGGCAGAAAATTAAGTCCATCTTTGACGAGACATGTTAACAGTCAGAATACGGAGAGGAAAAAATGCTTAACTCTTCTTTCTAAAGGGACAGGATGCCACTATGTCCCACAGGACTGGGATACGCAGGATGCAATAGATGACTGCAAAACATGGAGTGCATTTTTAAACTACATACAAAAATATGTCTACGTTAGAAGATTTTAAACAGCAACTGTAAAGTGATTAGAACTCAAAGAACTAAATATTGTTTCTCTTTATAAATTAATATATGTTTTTACAATTAATCCTTTTTCTTTAAATATACATATGTGCATAATGCCAGATCAAGGTAGCTTAAGTACTCAGCTTAAGAAAGGCGAATAACTATTTTTTGTTTATTTTCAACCTCACAAGATTTCTCTTCCTCTTAAAATGCTGTTCTACGAAACTGTGATACAAACATGGCCAAAGGCATGAGGAAGGGGTACAATATATAAATAAAGCTGTCTTTTTAACATATGGTCAGGTGCACATGCCCACTTTTACCCTCCTTCCTTTTGAAGACAGTATCAGTATTAAAAATTTGTTTAGTTCTAACATACACAGTTTATTTCAGGGTATCTCAAGTACTTCCGACCATGAACCATTTACCAATCAATAAAAAGTAAAGGAATGGTCCCAATCTCTAGAGAATCTATAGACTTCATTTTAAACAAACAACAGTATATATTTATGTTAACAGATGATTTCCCACTTTATAAAAGTACACCTCACAGACAAGGAAACAAAGAAACAGGAAAGTTAAATAAATTGTTCAATATTGAACAGACAGTTCAGTCTTGAACTATTGAACAGGCAGAGCTGGGAACAGAGCATCAGCTGATTTATTTTCAGTCCTCTGTCCTGTTTACTACAGTCTTTTTCCTCCTAAGAGACAAATTTGTGCAGCACATGGGGCCCTGTCTGGTACCAGCTCTTCTAGGCGCTTTGGTGGCAATGGGCAGCTACAAAAAGAAAAGTTCTTTGTTTGGGTGTTTGACCCTCGTGGCTGGGTAGGTGACAGGGGACTGGGCAAGAGTCATGAAGCAGCCCAGGTCCTAACTCATGTAACCACTAAATAAGGATTGTACAGCCCCACGGTATCTTCTTCTAAAAACTGTAATAACTATTTTAAATGATAAAGTTAAAAATTCAAATAATTCTCAACAGCACAAAACCCACCTGCTCATTCACAAAGCATTTGTGTTCAGGTTTGTTGTTTGAAATCGCTATGAAAATAAAACTTAAGAACATTCAGGAAAGAGTACAATTTGCCTCTAATTTATTCTCAGATTTTCTGTGAATATTGCTCCCCACGTTGTCATGGCAACACAAGCACATCTTTCAGTACCGAGGAAGTAACAAGCCTTTCGATTCTCACCTTTGGCCATTTTATTGAGAACCATGTCAATTAGAATGTAGGTTCCACTTCTTCCTGCACCATCGCTGCCAACAGAAAGGGAAAAAGAAAAAATAAAGCCTATCAATGTGCATCTAGACGCAACATGAAGGTACCTGCCCTTAATGTTGTACCGTTACGCATGGGGGGAGAGGACAGAATGAGGGGCTAAAGTAGGGTACTGAGAGAGGAGAGAAAGCTTGCACTGAATTAACACAAGCTGTTCGTGGAAAATTAACGATTAGCCTGCATGGATAACAGGGCTTTGTTCTGATTTTTTAAGCCGAGTTGTGTTTATGCATAAAAGCATTTTAAACAACAGTGAAAAAGTCAGTAACGCTAAAACAGGATACCATTTCTGTTCGAACAGTGTACATATAATGAGCTTATAGTCACTTGTATATGAGATCAAGAACCACAGAATAAACTAGAACAGAGTATTATCCTGAATGGTCCCAAAATGTCACAGATTGCATTTGAACACAGCGGTCAGAGGGAATGCATGCAGAGACCTGTCTGAGAACTGAAATATTTGATTACTGGGGGACTGCAGTCTTTCTTCACTATACATCATGAGGGATTTGTTTTTTCTTTTTACCTTTTCCTTTAATTCTTCCTTAGTTGCAACGACCAGAAAAAATATTATCATGTAATTCCTAAGAAACAGCTTTAACTTTTGTGTATCATCAGCCCTTCCTCGGAGACGTGAGACCAAGCCTTGGGAGGGGGAAAGCTCCCTAATATGAATGCAGCTTGTGTCCCTTTCAGAGAGCAACGTGTAATTGCCAGCGTGATGCTCTTTTAGAGCTGCTGTTAGCAAACATAATTAAGACTTTAAGTAAAAGCTTTTTTTCTTTCCCTCTCCAAAATTTTTACAAAGGTGCATGTGTGACCAATTAGACTGGTATGTAGTTTTATTAATTAAGCCATTATTTTTATTGATAGCTCAATTTGTGTACAAGAATTAATGAAAGGAAAAATAATAGAACAGCGTGAAGCGCGTTATTACATTCTGTTTACAGGCGGGCTATGAAACTTAATTTTTGTTAAGTCTCTGTAGACAGGTTTTTTTCTTTCAGTTACTAGATCACCGCTTAGAGAAAAGGAGGTAATGGTAATAATTTTTTTTTCTATGCCTATGAAGGGAACAGAGACACAATCTTATTAGTTAAGCTGAATAATGAGAGACAAAGCAGCGATCAGGCCCAATGAAAACAAAACCTACTGAGCGGATGGTAGACATTTCCATTCATCACAGTAAGGAAAGAGCAAGAAACTTGAAGGCTCTTCATTCTGCATCAAATGTTTCTTTTCTCAGGCTTCCTGAAGGCAATGCAAACAAGCCTGTGCCAGAGCATTCACCTCTGCAGCGAGCCTCCTTGCATGCAGTAGAAGGTGACTGCTGAGCCACAAGTGAGAAACACGTACCCTCCCTCCTCACTCCCACCCAAAGTGGAGTGCCACACGTCAAACAACCTGCCTCTTAGCAGGGCTGGTTTTCTATCTTCCTTATCTACAGGAATATCATCGATAAATAATTGCAGCGTTCTCCTTATAACAGAGAACCTCCAATGGCAAACATTAACGTGATTATGGTAAAGTTTTCCATTGATCTGCCTGATAGCTTTCATGTGCATCTATCAGACCGTCAGGCCTAAAGATAATCTGTGCTTAAAGGATTACTCAATCTCTGGGTAGGTTTCCACTCCCTGACATTGCCCTCTTCTTACCATGATCTCTAAAAGCAAGCAAAGAAGAAATAAAACGTAATTGAGTGTTAATAAAATAAAGATGACTACATGGGGAGGGAACGCGAAGAACCACTATAATTTTCAAGGAGATTTATGAAATTGAAGTGCTAGTTATATTGGAAAGGGTGGCCATACATTGCTAAGTCATGACACAACATCTACAAAATCATAGGAAAGGATAATTTTATTATGAAAACAGATCCTAAGTATTAATCAGCACTAAAAAACAGTTGAATTATATTTAATACCTTCAGCCTACCTCACTATCTGTTTAGTGATTCATCTAAAGCTTTAATTTGCCCATTTTGTTTATATCTATGTTAAATTCTTACACATAGAAATCTCTCTAAAGCTATTTTAGAAATTGTACTTGCCTGCAATGAACAACTACTGGACAAGAGCGACCCCTGTAGCACTTGTTTACTTTTCTGAAATAAAACAGACACAAAAAATTAATTAAGCATATTACATACTGTTTCTTTAGCCAACTGTCAAAAATAAGCAAGAAGAGAAAGCAAATATTGCAGTCTTTAAAGAAACAGTCAGGTTGATAATTTCCTAATATAACAAGCAGTTGTTACATACATAATCTTGTTTAAAGTTTCCTTCTGCTTTGCTGCTGTAGAAATCCTAGACAACATCCCATTATTGCTGCTGGCTAGGCAAAATAAATGATCTCTTTTCTCAAATGTCTTATGTCTTAGCTCCAAAACTAAGATTATCTTGAGATGCTTTAATTTTAAAGCCAATTTTGAGTTCATGAGCCTGCTCAAAGAAATATCGAGGGCCATCAAACTGAATCCAAAATTAAAAATGGCTATTCCAGTATATTTTGTACAATGTGTGCTGATTTGTAAAACCAGTTCTCCCCAGAAAGGCAAATACCAAATCTCCTGAAAAGCTTCTCACAAAATTCTAAAATGTAATCTATTGTGGTAAAAATAACTAAAACCATCAGTAAGCTTTACTGCTTTGGTTCTAGAGCAGAAGTCTTATATATTTAATATTTACACATTATTGCCTTCTACAGCTCCTTGGTTAAACATTCTCAGTGGCAAGAGAATATATGTGAAGTCAATCAATGAAAGTACAGCTACAGAACAGGTCTGCTGATATGTAAACTCAATGAAGGAATTAACTAGTGCTGAGGCAAAGCCAGATACTCAGTCTAAGAACAGAGCCCACAAAATTGGTTTAAATCTATTTAAATTGCTTTACAAAAACCAAAATCCCAAACCCTCTCTTCTGCTTTAGGATATATTTTGCATGTCAAGTATGTTACAGGCCCAAAAAACCCATAAAATATGCACACATATGTTAACAAGGCAAGCTGAATAAAGGCTAAAATGGGAAAGCATTGCTTCAAGAAATCAAAACCTTTCATACAATTTCCTCGATGAGATGTTTGAGTTTACTGGAGCTAGAAGGTCTCCTACAAAACCATTTCACAGGGCAGCTTCCAAGGGGTGCCCAGACCCTCTAATAGTCCCCAGGTCGGCGCAAGCATTACATAGGATCCTGACTGCTAAACTGAAGTGAGCTGCTGAAATTTGGCAACTGTGGTACAATGTTATTATGAATTTTAAAGCATAACTAACCTACTGAATCATTTAGTTCTTGGCTGTTCATCTATTCACTAACATCTGTGCTGTGAAAACATGCATATATCTTTAAACATTGCTTACAGTATAGCCTGAAGATGCCTAAACTTCTAAATCTGACAGGGAGTCGGGATACCTGGAACTCAACCCAAACAGGCTACAGAGATGTTGGAGATGTCCCATGAACCCGTGTTTTCACATTCTGCTTTTTATTATTGAAGAATCTAACCAAACTTGGTAACAATATTAAGTTCTTGTAATGATTCCCTTTCAACATTAGAATTCAGGAATTTTTCACAATTCTTACTCTTTTGCTTACTGATGTAAATCATACTTGCGGAGACATTCTGTCTCTGTTTATATTCCTTGGATGTAAGTAATTAATGCAGTAGAACAACGTTCTATGAAATAAGAGGTAAGCCATTGAGAAGTACCTGACTTTTGAAGTTAAATGGACCACTTATATGTCCATGAATGCATATATACGCAGGCGCTACCAAGCAAAACTTCAATGACTTAAGCTGCAGCAGAGTTTTCACATGAATGAATCATTCAATTCTTGATGGTCATATCTGAGGATCAACTCCTTCTATACAATATAAAGCCTGATATTTATTTTTTTGTATTGTACAGTAAATTATATTTGAAATGTCTGTAACAACATCTGATGCAGTCAGTCTGCATTCCCCTGCGTGCAGCTGGTCATCCTCCCCCCACCCCCCATCATGTGCATTAGTAAAGAGTCGTTTCTGCATTTGAAGTACTAAATAAGAGCTAATAACTACAGAGGGATATTTACCATTTCTTTTTCTGCTTGTGTGGTTCCTTTGTTCCTTGTATGGCACCACTAATATGATATTTGCACGTTGTGACTAGCCATCTACCAAAGTCCTAATATAATTTCGGTGACAAACTCGATCTAAACCTATCAGTAAATAGTTTTATTGAAGGCGTTTCAAACATTTTCATTATCACACATTTCAGAAAACACATTAAAACAAAGGGTTTCAATCCAGTTGGTTCATAGCTTTGTCTATATATAGTTTATGAAAATATTTAGAAGTGCAGCAACGTCTCATTTCATTCTTAGTTCTGGCTAATGAGAGTGAGCTGAAAATTCATCAGTAAGCAAAGTTCTTGAATGTTGAAGAAATATATATTATATATAAATATATACATATACAGGAAGAATTAACTTAGAAAGAATGATTAGTAATACAAACCAACCCTTGGCTCATTGAGTGAAAAAGAAATCATCATGCAAACCATCAGCAAGCAAAGGTCAGAGGTCGTTAGAGGCTCAGAAAAGGGGTTTCCCACATTGTCCCTGCAGCAGAGTCACAGTTTCCAATGATCACTTTTGTGACTATGCAACTGGGCTCATATTACTAGCTGCAACATCACAAAAATGACACTGGCAACCGCTAATTAGCTGGCAAAATAAGAATTTGTCCATTTTTAAAGTGAGCAGTGTTAGTAAATGCCATTGCACACAGCGAGAAGTGATAGCATAATAGATATATATTTTAAGCAAAGCCCTCACATGTGATGCTAATTATCTTTTAGCTTAGCAGTCCCTCTTTAAAGTGTAAATGTGCTCCCTCTGGGCTCAAGAAATATTTAATTACACATATCAGTGCATGACTAACAAGCTAGTCCAGAGCAATAATGATTGGTCTATTGTTCAAAATGAAATTAGGACTCCAGAAGCATTTAAAACTGACCAGTGGTTTCTGTAGCAGCCTCACCTCTCAGGGACTGTCTTTTGCACAGGTTTTTTAAATATATAGAATAATCTCTTTTTAGCAATTTATACCTACATTATGAAAGTATGATAGATTATTCCACAAAGTTTAATGTATCTGCTAAATGCAAAACCATCTAAAACACTGTCTGATATATAGCAAGAGAAATGTAAGCTTTCAGTTTTCAAAGAGACTTGAAAAATTTACTTCAATAAAAATTTTAAGGTCCATATTTCCACAGACTCTGGGCAAGGTAATTTTGGGAATCCAATTTTTCTTGGTGATGAATTATAAAAAATAGAGGGTTGGTTATGTATATGCTTAATTTCATATATGTATGTGAATATATAAATATACACACATATCCATATATATATACAAACACACTGAATGCACATAAAAACATAGATTAAAAGAAATGAGAGCAGCCCCTTCCTAGCACTACCCTACTACGAGTATGGTAGCGCTGTCAGACGTTTATTCTGGGGGCTTTATGACTCAGCTGTCGTAATCCAGCAGAGTTTGTGCTTTAAATAGGAAGCTTCAGGTGCAAAACATGTATCGTATAAATGAATTCCAAATACATTATTTCAGCAATAGTGCATTAGTTTTTTTGTCATTAAAAAACCAGCAACATCAGATGACCAAGAAAACTGAGATTCATAGAGCAGCTATTGTGCATGCTAAAATTCCTTTTCAGGCGGAATTTTACTATGCATTCAGTATTATGAGTTCATTGTACAAAATCTGCACGTAGCAAATGATTACAGTACCCTACACTGGACTGTGAATACATATTAAATGAACACTCAGAATTCAATTAAATCTTAACAGGTTCATTCCCATACTGGCTTTAAACACAAAGAATGGCAGCTCCACTACTCTTCTCATCTAGTTATAATTTTTCTTTTTCGAAGTATTGCACAACACTTCTTCAACACGGCTATTTAACCCTTACACAATGTCACTCTAAGCACTGCTTTCTTGGCGATGCGAACTGCGACTTACTGCAGATCTAATCCTGCAGTTCATGCAGGGACCTCAATTCTTACTGAAGTTGGAGTCGAGGTGCTCCGAACTTCAGACGTCCTGGCTGTACAGGCTCATTTATAGTCTAGTTACAATTGCTAGCACATTTCCCACTAACTTCAAAAAGGGCAAAATCGGTGTTGGCTCCGCGCTGTAGCCTCGCACGACTTAATGGAACCAATCCAGAATTTTAACTGCAGAAATTCACTACAGGCAACTTCCACAGTACCGCAAGCAAAGGGAAATCAACCTATAAAAATCACATTAAAGTGAAACCCAGACAAGAAAACCTTGAAAATTCAATTACAATTTCAACTCCATCCTATGGCCGTGCTTCCTTCCTCCACTATCGCTTTTGTGTTGTGACTCTGTAGCGTACCCTTATATTCTTACCTAGCCATAGTTCCTAGTGACTCAGTAGAGCTGTACTCTGTTACTTGACCTGCACTGTTTGAGATGACTCTCTGCTTTGAAAAGCCTTGTAATACGTACAAGAATACCCATGGATGAAGGGTGGCATTTAGTCCTAAATTTTTAAGGGTAAAATTTTGCCAACAGACAACTGTGCAACCAGCTCCCGTTGGATATAAGCCAGCTTCTCCCTTCGGATGCAGATGCGTAACTCCAACTGGCATCAGTCAGAGCTCCCAGCACTTATTGAAAGAAACAAGTTTGGACCTTTTGAGCACTGAGCCCTTTATAATCACTTTGGGGGTTGTAGATAATATTGTAGTACCGAGAGGAAAACACGCGATCCCACAGGCCGCTTGCGGATTGAGAACCAACTCCCCAAACCTCCCGGAGATTCTTTTCATTAGTCATAAGCGCATCGCTGTGGATTAGCTGGCACACGCTAACACCTACACACGATGCGCTGGGCACGGTTTGCAATCAAATGAAGATTATTTCACTCCAGTATTTATCATGCATGGCTTTAATTTTCAAATTAAAATTTAGGTAGACACAGCAAACATTAGAGAAGGTGGCAAGGACCACAGGTTTTGCCTCTGTATATTTGTATTTTAAAGCCACGTTGACTTTCTTTAAAAGTCCAGAGGGTATGCTCTGTCAACATTTTCATCCGCTTTCTCAAATTTCCACCTTCCTGCAGCCAAAGAAAATCTAGAGTCCTCACTGTTTGATCCTTACGAGCAAACGCTCCCACGGGAATGCCTTTATTGCCACATGACTCCATCCTGACTTTTTTTTCAAGCGTGCTCATACCACATGATTTATTTGTAAGATTCCTGCAATAAGGATCATAGGGGAGCCACACAAAAAGCCTGGAAGTTGCAGAATGGATAAATGCTTGGAAAACAAAGAAATACAGAAGCACTGAAGAGCTGTACAAAGGGAGGAAAGGTATCGATCTCTAAATGGGAAATGAGCATGTCTTAAAACCAGGCAACATCTACGTGTGAGACAACACTAGGAATCAACCTACTGCAGATTTTTGTGTTAGTTTAGCATTGTGGCATCACAGGCTGAGGACCCCCCTTTCAAACCCGAAACATTTAAAGGACGACTAAAATGACTAGTTTAGTTCATCAGATCTGTATTGTCTTAAATGAACTGCCATACTTTGTGCTTTACCTGCGGAAATCCAGAAGTGATCTTGTGGAAGCAGGAACCCTCTGATTGTTCCAGCTGAGGAAGTGGAACTGTGTCACTGTACGGGTCTCGTTTGTCTGCAGGTTCTTCAGGTAGAAGCTCCTCACGAGGAAATCCTCGCACCAGATGTGCTCAGAGACAAGGTTTACCTACACCCCATAGGAAGGAACAAATGGAGATCAGCAATTTCGGTTGCAAGCCACATCTTCAGGATTGCAGGTGTAAGATGTCTGGGATGAAGGAATTACATGAAAGTTTTATTTTTATTAGCAAATTGGCCAGTGCTGGGGAAAATTTTTTTTTGATTTAGCAATCAGTGTAGTTGTCAGGAAGGGGTTAGCTGCCACTGCTATTGTACTGAAAACAAAAAAAAATTCTTGAGAGTTTTAATGCAAAAGGAAAAATCACTAAATTGAAACTTTATATCGTTATGTGAATACAGAAGACGCTGCCTGAAAATATGTTAGACTGCCAGTCGTTTTCTACTCGGAAATGTCTACAATGCATTGCCCAGGCCACTCTCAGAAGTCTTAAAAATCTCAGAGTTGAATTCACATGAGAAGTGAAAAGTCAGTTTCTTCTGCTATGTAGAATAATAAGCATAAAAAATGCAGCTGATTTGCAGAGTTCATCTTTTCAGAAAAAAAGTTTCTTCACATTTTGGTTTAAAGAACTGTATTTCTTCACATTTTCCTGTTCTTGGTATTTGGCATTGTGGTATTATTTTCTTCCTCTACTCAGCTGGGCAACTGGAAAAATCTGACAGCCATTATCAATGTTACATTGCAACAAAACTGGTGATATGATATTTTGGGCTAGAAATGTAAAGCAGAAAATAAAAATACATATTTGTTGTTGTGACTGAGGCAAGAGGTAAAAATAGATAGCATTAATTACTAAAGCCATATAGAGGCTTTTCTACAAAGATATACATATGGTTTTCCTAAGGCAAAATTCACTAGTTCCAAAAATACTATTTTCCTATAAAATATAAATACATGGTTTCACATTTCAACCACTTGCAAAACTGTCTGAAAACCAAAATTGTTGTCCTTTTTTCATTGTAATACTTGGCTCATTATTTACTAGATTTTATTCAGCGGAAACTACCTTGCTATTAAAACTGTGCTTGAATTTTTCACAAATCTAAAACTACTCGAAGGCACACAAAGATTATTTAAGAGCCCTCAGCTCGACCTCCAGGTTAGATCGGCTTAAACACCATTTTGCCCCGTAGGAAATCAACCCGTACACTTACTGTCACGTTTACAACCAGGTATTTTGTGTAGGTACCTCATAGATGTGGTAGAGGTTTGACCCTTCGTCTGGCCAATAGTGGTAGCACTGTTTGACTCCATTTTCCACGAGGGGTGTCAGCATGACAATAACGACACAGCCGTTCTCCCAGACCATCTGCAGACAAAGAAAGACACCGTGGCCACATTGTGACTGCCTAATTACTGCGTGACATGTATAATTACTGCACTCAGACACACAATCAAAATTTATTCCATTCACAGGAAATTTATTTCATTTTCATTAGACACTTTTACTCTGCAGCTGCTTTCAAATCCCTGAATAAACTGGCACCATATTTTGCAGGCGTCCATGAAATATTAAAGAATTTCCAGCGATTTCAATTCAGGTCTTCCACAAAAATCTCTCCTCGTTCCTGGTACCGTGTTCAGCTGCTTTTACTTTTAGACCCGCAAAGGGAAAACTGAACGATGCTTGCAGAACACACAACTTTTGGGCTTTGATATTTAATGCTAAGGCAGCATGGACCTACTGAAGTCACACGTACTGAAACCTGTTTGTGTCCTCAGCCCTATTTCTTTCTACAGTTCACCGTGTAGCAAAAGCTACTAAACTGCTGCATTGCTCAAACAATCAAAAAAGTTACATCTGAACAACGGTAATGAGGAAAAGGCAGGAAAAACCCAAACCCAATCTGTTCTTCCAGAAACATTTCAAATGGAGAAATCGTCCCTCCAAAAGCACATTTATAAAAGATTTGTTGCAAATGTGCATTACTTTCTCTTTCTTCTTCCTTCTGTTCTTCCTTTTTTTCCCTTTCCATTTTTCTTTTTTATTGTCTTTCTTTGTATCTTTTTCTTTTTTCCTTTTCCTGTTTTCTTTTCTTTTTTCTTTTAATTTTCTTTCCTTATTTTTTTCATTCTTTCTCCCCCCCCCCCTCTTTTCTCCCTCTCTTTTCTCCTTTTACTTTCCTTTTTTTTCCTGGGGGTAGAAGGAAAGTCCAACTCCTGCTGCAGACCATGCACTCACAGAGCACAGGTACAGCAGGAACAGAGGACAACAGTGTATCTTCATTACCAGCATGATTGCTTAATAATTTAGACCAGCTACAGAGCAGGATACAGGAATCCAGTATATCCTCAACTAAAGGATTTGTGGATGTCTCCCACAAACAGCAGAACAAGCGGAGATGCTCTGGTCTGGCATATCTCTGTTCCAAACACAGCCCATGGCTGAACAAAAAGGCTCCTATGAATTAATACCAAGCAGCATAATCACTAAAAACTGTTGTTATTATTATGCTGTACATTGATGTTATATTTGCATACAACTTTCATTGTCTTTTTGCTAGCATATAAAATTACTGAATGAAGAGTAAACTGCTCTTTTTGTGAAGGGTTATGTTTATTTCACAGAAATATTTATAAGCAACTGTATTGACATGTAAATTTTGTAAACAAAAAAGGCCTTTGTCTAAACTGTGCAAAGATGAGATGATACATTCAATTCAAGGATTATTTTTTTTTAATTACATATCAAATAAAAAGGTTTCCCATTCATGGATAATGATGTTGTCTTCTCTTTCAAGAATAGCTTGCATATAGAGAAACAAATAACATTTTTCTTCCTTTTTTTTTTCATTTTGCAAGATAACTAAAACAACTTTTAAAACCAGCTTAGAATTATTTAGAGAAATGAATCTAGGGTTTGCACAGAATAGGGTTATTCATAATTTTGAACAGAAGTGGGGAAAAAAATTACAGCTGAATGTAACGAATAAAAATAATCTTTATCTTTTTTTTTCCCCTTAAAAAGATTTTTTAACTAAAAATATCTGTAATCCACTCAGCTTCCTGTTAAAAACTCACAATGCACAAAACCAGCAGAAATACTTTAAGTTGATAGATTATTTTATAGACAGATGTAGATTTATCATTTGTATCTTTTTTGTACTGCATTTGTTTTAGGCTACAGCTGGGAACCTTCTTTGTATGTAAGGAAGATGATACAGATTTCATTCATTCTAACGTAGTTTCACCTTTTTTAGTCAGCGATCAGACTAAGATAAGAATTCAAAACATGCATCTTACTTTAAAACTAGCCCCACTAAATCAGTACTTTCATCACATAACGATTTAATGTGCCTCTAGAAGGTATAGAAGCTCATTGAAGCCATTACGAAAATGAGGAGAAACACAGTTTTTATGAGTGTAATAAAAATACAATGATCTAGACCATAAACTAATCATCTAGCACTCTGCTTGTGCCACCCAAGTGTAACATTATAAAAGCCCACTCGTTTAGAGAGGAATCCTTACAGTTTGGCAACCCTGTTCATTGGTTCAAAGATACAGCATTTCATTAGAGAGGGGCTGTCTGCATCTCTGAAGATTTCATTAAGCATAAATCCAAATGAAAGTTAATTTAAACAAACAATTTCAAAGTTACTCTGGGGTACAATAATTCTTTTAGGTCATTGTGTGAAAATGTAGAAGTCAAATCTACTAAATCAAGAAGGCAATACAACCTAGTGCCGTCATCCCTGTTACAAGCAATTGTCACTGCATCTCATGTGCTTACCATTGAGATGGGATTTTCACTAAGACTCACAGCTTGTGACTGGAGCACTACAGCATTTTCTTTGTTTCCTTGATAACTTAAATATTAGACCATCAGGCTGCTATCTGGATTTCTTTCCAAATAACGCAGAAGCGGGATGATTCAAAGGCAGTTCGCAGAGTTTTATACTCTTGCCTGTTCACCGCCCCATCTTTAACTTGGTGATGGGTTTTTCAGAAGCCACATCTCCCAAAACCTAACACTTTGCTGTGCTCAGAGTGTCCAGACATGGCCATATGCTAGAAAGTGGCCCCAAGGAGTGTGTCTTTGTAATTAATGAATGAACAGGTAGCACAGACCTGGTCTACACAATCTCAATACAGCCTTCGGAGAAGCGTCTCTGGTTACCAAAGAGACATTTCAGCTGGGCTTGGAGAATAAAGGAGCAGGTTCAGTTGCAAATCCACAGTAATTCATGTAATTCTGAACTTTGTATGCTTGCACAATAGAAAGTAAGTCAATGCATGTGATATAAGAATAAAGAAAATACAAGGTCCTCAGGGCAGAGTTTTTTCTTTTTAGGTAGAGCCCAGCAAAATTAAGCCTTAGACTCTTAAGTGTCTATAAAAACTGAATATATTAAAAAGTATTTATTTATATATATATTATATAATATATATCATATATAAAACTAAACTTATTTAGATCACTTAGCACAGGCAGTTTCGTGTTTGTAATTTACGGTAATACTTCCAGGAGAAGAAGAAATGTTGAGTGGAGTCTTCTGAATGGAAGTGATAAAGTCTGAGTTACATATAGGAGCTCACTGCAGAGCTCTGCAACGCATGCTTTGCTGAAAAAGGAAGACAGTGTATAATTTTCTGTGACACATCTTCCTTCAGCCTATATGCCTAGAGAGTAACATGTTAATGATCTTTAATGAGGTTCTGCTGTATGCATCATTCTCAAAACATTTCTTAGACAAGAATAACACCATCCCTCTCCATTTATTGAAAATTAAAGGCTGAATCCTGCAACCCAAAGATGAGCAGTGTCTTTGACATCCGCAGGATTCCCTGTTGATGAAATCCACTACGTGTAGAGACCTCATGCTGTGGTTATCTAGCATGCCAGTACCATACAAAGGACTTCCTCACTGGCATGAATTATATTTAGTATGAATTACTTGCAAAGGAGCACAGAATTGGTTTTTCAGGTAAGGGGAAAAATAGTCACAAATAGGAGAATCAGTGCCACAACACTGCCACGAATCTGATAAACCACAAGTTTTTGAAAGCTTATATTTTAAAATTTCCTTGTTTATTAGCTTGTAAATAAAATAGTTAATATGAATCCCTTTATTTTTTTCAGACACTTCATCATTTCTAAGCTTCTTTTGATAATGAATGATCCACCCTAAGCCCCTTTTTCAGTCATTTTCTTCTTTAGTTTAGTGATGGGGAAATTACAAGACATGTGCTCTGACCAGACACTCTTCTTTTGACAGGAACTGGTAGAGAAGTTTCTAAAATGTGTTGATTTAAAAGTAGAAAATCGATGGGATAATCAGTTAAGTCCAGCCTGTTCACTAAAAATAACAGGCTAATCACACCAGCTGCTTTCTAGGAGAGATCTCCAGTAAACTAAAGAATTCACTTTTTCAGTCTTTTAGGCTTCCCAAATAGTTGGTAAATGCAATTATTTGGAAAAGCAGATAAACAAGCAAACAAAACCCAAATAATTTCTAATGATAATCAAAACAACACGAATAAACACAACTCCTAAAACAACAACAAAGCAAGGTACTAACCCTTGCTGTCAGATGATATTCATCCCATCACATATCTTGAAAGTAATTAACTCAACTGTGACTTCTTTTGAGTTCTCCATTGGAAATAGGAAACACTGTATTGAATGGAGACAGGCAGAAAATGGTATTTTCTGGAATATTTTAAACCCCAACCCCAAGTTTTAATGGGTTAAAAAAAGGGGGGGAGCTTTTAACTGAAAAAAAAAAATTTGCGGAGAATTCAGGTTTTTGTTATCAACTAGAACTTCACAATGTATGTCAGTCAAAAAGCAACCTTTTTTGTGAAACCTTTTGGTTGAAAATGACTTACCATTTTGATATGAAATGGGTCAAATCTGGCAGTCAGAGTTGCCATTTGCAAAGTCACAGCAGTGCCAGACAGCTAAGCAAATACGTAGGTTGAAAAATTAATGATCAGCAATCTATGTTTAATTAAAAAAATTATCTGACTCTTGCAGTTGAAAAGATGGCTTCAGAGAGGACCATATATAAATATGAGGTTGTCAGACTGGCTCCATGTGTTATGTCCCTGCTGTTGCAGCAACACTTGTTTGGAAGTCAATGGGAAAGGCAAACTCAAGATGACTGTATGTGTTGCAATAACTTCTGCTTTCTCAGAGAGACATAAACTGCTCTTATTCTTCTCAGTAGACTCCTAACTCAAGCCTTATTATTAAATAGTTTAAATACGAGCACAACTTAGTATTGCAGTGCTGACAAAACCACATTAAGGAAGGACAGTACACCAGAATCACCAGTAGTTAGCTTTTCACTTCAGTATTGGAAA